CGTTCTCGTGCGTAGGTTCTTCGAGACGTGCGCAAACTTCTTCCAAGTTCGTATGGAGCACCTGAATGAGGTTCTCCGCTGCGACTGCTACGTCTTCGACCCTGGACTCCTGCATGTATGCCTGATATGCTTCGTTGTCTGCTTCCTGGTCCGCTGAACTGCTTACGTAAGCTAAAAAAGCTTGTTGTCTTTCTCGCAGTATGCGAACGGCTGCGCGCATATTCGACAAATGCGTCCGAAGGGCCTCTTGACGGCTGTCAAGAAGCTGACGCTCGTCGGTAGATGGCGGTAGTTCTGTTATGAATGCATTGATAAGATGTTGCGGTATCTTACCTTTAGTTAATCGAGTGCGGTGAGCGCTTTCGTTAGATTCGCTTTGCATGCGCTGATAGTTGACATGATTGATCGCTGTGGCAGGAGGTGGTTACTGCCTAACCCAAATCTAAAATGGGGAAAGTGAGTAGGTGTAGTGCCGTGAGAAGGCCCTGGCCACAAGCCTCTCGCGGCTGATGTTATCTGCGAATAAGCGAAGTTGGCCTTACGACAGTAATTTGCGATCACAAGAAGGCTAGCGTAAGACAAGGACAACAGTTGACGCAACTTGCAACAAACTATGCCACACAATGATGGTAATACCGTACTCCTGGATGGTCAGCCGAAGACGGTTACCTGGAACTGCGCGGACAGTTCTAATCGAGTGCCTACAGACGCCTACGGACCGAAGATGCGGCCTGAATACAAGTGAAGATCCCGTGCGGACGATCCCGGGCAGCGTTTCCTCCAGCTGCTACGGGCCCGACAACCAGATTGCATGAGGCAGGCTTGTCCCGTTCCCTTGGGTCTCCCTCCATGCAATTTGACCTGGTGCTCCCCCCGGTGCCTCGACACGCATTGCTTGCTCCCTGTAGACAGAAGGGTAATTCTCCCGCTCCCTAGCTCGCGAGTTAGTACCGATACGTCGTGTGGCTGCGAGGTGCCACTCCCGTGCCACAACACCCGTACCGGCCTCTAGGTTGGTAAGATACGCCCCGTCGATGCTTCCTGCGTGGTCATTCTGTAGGCTGCTCGGATCCATCCGAAGAGTTCCATGGACGCGTTCGACTGATCCATCCGTTTCCGACTTCTGCGCGTGACATGGGTCCGATCACAAAGGCCAGACATGTGTTACCACATGGCTAACCTCAGTCCGATGCACCATGTCGCGACGCCGGTGCGGCAAGCCTGGGGCAAGATGACGTACAAGTGGCTTGCAGCCCGGTGCCGTGATTTTAGATGACGTGCGGAGGGACACGCGCCTAGCTTGCCTGCCACGTGAACCTGCGGTCCTCATCCTCCGCTGCCCCATGATGTTGCCTTCCTTGCTGGAGACCACTGCGCTTGAAAGACTATGACAACTGCGCTATAACCTGACTCCACTTTCCCATGATGGTGACCGACACCTGCGCTATGTAACCACCCACTTGATGTTAACACTGTGTTGGTATTGTTAACCATGATGATCGCGATCAAAAACCATCGATCTCTTGTAGAGATACACACACTAAGAAATGTAAAAGAAGTTACCCAAAAGGTGCGCTTAACTACTGCGCATGATCTTGCTACATAACAGAACACAAGTAAATAAAGTTGGCTTTATGCCATCTACACAATCTACGAACCTAAACTACTAAACCTACGGGATGGTTTCCTCGCCTCATTAGGGGCCATCGGTGCCTCGAGCCCCTTCACTCATGCACTGCGCGTTAGCCGGGGTGCGTTCGTCACGTCCGGGCGCGGAGCACAGAGGAGTGAAGGTTCCTGTCCATCCAACCATAGATCCTTGTCCAAGGTGTCCATTCCATGAAGTGCGCTGCGCCCCAAGGGTCGTCCGGGGGACGGACGACGGCGCTCGTGGAACGTCTTGCGAATACCACTGCGTTCATTGTCTTCTGTGCATGAACTGCGATGGCGGATGAGGGATGATAATGGGGAACAACCGGGCAGGACGAAGGAAGAGACGACGACTCACGATGACGACGAGGAGACGACTGAACTCGTAGAAACTTCCAGGCCCAAAAGTGGCGTGGGCCAATCCTTCCCTGCGCGTCGACTAGTGCGCGTGAAGACCCAGTGCGGACCCTGACGACTCGGCCCTTTAAGATGGCTTGCGGGCTGACTTGGCGTCGGATGTAGAGTGCGAACCGTGACGGCGTACCATATGCGTAGAAGTCGTACGAAAGTCACGACATATGGTGCTGGCGGCTTCGCCTCAGGATCTTGTTTTTTGCACTGGGTCACACAAGATCTTTATTGCTCGGAAAAGCAACAGGAACAGTGAATGACAGTAGATTTCATTCCGATTCGTTGTTCAAAGCGCAAGGTTGCGATAATATATGTATATGATCTAATGCAACAGTCTTTTTTCATAGCATCCACATAATTCTCATTGGAAAATAGTGGCGAGCGTCAGCTCTGTTGCCTCGTAAGCACATGGTTAGTACTTGCTACTCATTTTGAAGGGTGGCTTCAAGAGCATGAAACTTGATAACTCGTAATAACTTCGTCCATTTAATCAATAAACAGCTGTGGTTGATGTAATCAAATAACAGTAGTCAATAACAGTTGTAACAAGTTCAGTGTGATATTATATAGGTTAGGGAAACCGTGTCCAAGAAAGAATTTCCCATTCCTAAGTTTGGAATTCCAAAGAACATACAATATTGAACCACAGTTGATTATAAATGATAAACATATGTTCTTCGTGTGCAGATGATATGAAACTCTTCAAAATCTTTTATGTGACGACGTTTCGGGCTCTAAGCCCTTCCTCAGGTCTAGAAATACAAAACAAACACAATCACATCGTGACTCAACAGTTACACTAAATGGAAACAATCATTGGAAATAGAACGTACAACAACTGACCAACTATTAGGTGGGTGATGGGAGCGGGTTGGTCCCGGGAGAGTGGCGAATAGCTAAAAGGCTTGTGAGGTTGACGTGCGATGAAGCACGTGAGAGGAGAGACTCACCTCTCCTAGCGCTATACTTGGGATGCGCTGAAATTCAGCTTGATGAACGTTTGGACGCAACGCTGTTCTAGATCTTCCTACGACGAATATGTCGTCCACATAACGTCCGTAAAACAGCAAATCCGGTGATAGCGAACGTCTTTCCAAACGATCCATGAAGATGATGGCGAGAAGCGGTGCTATGCGACTGCCCATTGCTAGACCTCTCGTTTGCGCGTAAATGTTGTTTCGAAAACGAAACATGTTGAACTTCACAAACACTATTTCGCTCAATATTTGCCGAACGGACGGAAGATCTGCCTTTTGAAAAATACCGTTTATGAAATCCAATGTGCGTCATGTTTGGAGGTTTATGTGGGAGAAACTGGACGCCCTCTTTTCAAAAGGCTTGACGAACATTCAAGGGCACTCCGGAATCCCAGCAGTTATCCGGACAATCCCTTCTCGAAGCATCGTTCTGTGCGCCATACGAATGAGCGCCCACCGGAAATCCAAGTCCGTGTAATTCACAGAAACGTTGGTGACCCGGTAGAAAGGAAGATAAAGGAGGCATTGGAGATACGAAGGAGAAATCCGCAAATCAACAACAGGGAAGAACTGCGAAGAGCCATGGAGCTAATTGGCACATAGTGAGATGAAGGAATGAAGGCTACGTGACAATACTGAAATGCAGGGTATCCAATACCATTACCCTCACCCTTGCTTTTCCTGTCTAGTAGTCCCATTTCTAAACAAGTGAGCAGCTAGAGAGGTGAGTCTCTCCTCTCACGTGCTTCATCGCACGTCAACCTCACAAGCCTTTTAGCTATTCGCCACTCTCCCGGGACCAACCCGCTCCCATCACCCACCTAATAGTTGGTCAGTTGTTGTACGTTCTATTTCCAATGATTGTTTCCATTTAGTGTAACTGTTGAGTCACGATGTGATTGTGTTTGTTTTGTATTTCTAGACCTGAGGAAGGGCTTAGAGCCCGAAACGTCGTCACATAAAAGATTTTGAAGAGTTTCATATCATCTGCACACGAAGAACATATCTTACAATGAAGCTCAGAAACCCTATGATATTAAATCGATTTGAAACTCCTGCAACGCCAGTTTCATCTTAGTAGGAGCACCATTCCTCTTAATGTTAGATTACGTTCGCGAACCATCAACTAGCCCTCACACTAAATGAGTCCCTTACCTTCCTAGCGAAATGCAGACAACAGAGGCTTACCCCTTTGTTCATCCGGAATATGGTTCGTCGTTTCTCACACTACCGTCATGATGGAGTACGAAACACCGTTAAGCATCTAGAGGAAAACTGTTTGCTCGATGCTACGATAGCCGAACAAAAGCGTAAACGTAACACCTGTGTTCGGTCAATTGTACAGCTCAAGATGGCAGTGCGGCAAAGGCTGAGCTTGGAATGTTGGAACCAACTGATGACAAAACACAAGGAAAAGTGCGATCGTCTTCGCACCGACACACGACTTCGCCTGGAGAACAAGCTCGCAAATCTTTGCTGGGCAAGTGCATCATCCCACTTCATAATTAGGGATTCCATACCACCGAAGAGATGTGTGATTCTTGATGGAGGCCAGATCGACGATGAAGTCCTCAGTCTTTTGAACCTTGGTCCGAGTTTTGCACCAAAGCCGAGGTTCACTGAAGAGGTCAGAACCGACATTATGGCAGCAATCTATAAATTTGGCTATTCCTACAGCTGGAAAGAACAAACAGGGGCGACTGTTCCCACGCTTCAAGAATGCTTGAGGAAAGCCATGCCATTTCCACGATCCCGAGTTTGTGCACCCTCCTATGACCCAACTTTTTCGTCGAACCTCAGAGAACTACAGACTAGCATTCTCTCGAATATTCGACCACCACAGAGCCTTAAGAACACCCGACAATATGACGCGATCAGAGCGCTGTGGTCTGCGGAAAGCGTTAGCACTGAAGAGTTCTTTTGAGATTTTCGATCGGCGACAAATGCGGCGGATTCGTAGTTATGTCACGAGAAACGAGACATTGCTCTGACCGAAGCTGTCTTGTCCGATTCATCAACATACAGCGTAGCGACGATAAGCCGATACAGGCAGGAGTGCAACAATCTTCAAGAGAACGTGAAGAAGGTTCTGCGTCCGAAGCTGGAAAAAGAAACTTTGACACGACTCCTTCCTAACCATTCATCTATTCCGACATACTACCAGCTTGTGAAGACACATAAACTGGCAGCTTCTGAAGGAAGTGTCATAAGTGACAACAGTACCATCAAGACCAGGCCTATTGTTTCATCGTGCGAAGGCCCAACAGATGCAATTCAGCTGGTTCTTACAACATGTACTCTCACCATTACTAGAATACGTGCCAGCTCATCTGAAGAATGCGGAACATTTTCTGAGATGCCTGCGTGAAAGGCGTATTCCAAACGACTCAAGAATATCATACCAGAGTTTCGATGTGTCCGCTCTTTACACCAACGTGGACACGAAGATGGCGATCGAAGCATGTGTCAACATATTGCGGCAACATCATCAAAGTTGCCAGCTTTACGGACTATCCATTGATGGCATTGTAGAGCTTCTGGTAAATGTTGTGAAGTTCAACATGTTTCGTTTTCGAAACAACATTTACGCGCAAACGAGAGGTCTAGCAATGGGCAGTCGCATAGCACCGCTTCTCGCCATCATCTTCATGGATCGTTTGGAAAGACGTTCGCTATCACCGGATTTGCTGTTCTACGGACGTTATGTGGACGACATATTCGTCGTAGGAAGATCTAGAACAGCATTGCGTCAAACATTCATCAAGCTGAATTCAGCGCATCCAAGTATAGCGCTGACTGTCGAGGAACCTGGACAGGACGGTTTCCTACCGTTTTTAAATACAAAAGTGAAACTGTCCGAGAACCAAGTGGTTTCGATGTGGCACAAGAAGAGCGCTTCGAAGAATATCTTGATTCACGCAAGAAGCTGCCACCCACTTTTTATGAAGAAGAATGTTGTCCAAAACACCTTGGCGACAGTTTGCAAGACGACATCCACGAACGTTTCGGAAGTGATGGACAAGGTGAAACGCATATTAATTGAGAACGGTTATGGAAGCAGACGAATAAAGTGCTG